TAAAATTTTATACTCGTTTCATTTTGCTATCTCCTATTTGTTATTTTATGGCTTTTAACCCTGCCGGACTTGCGACACTTCTTACCAGGAAACCGTGGGTTAGTCACCGATGACCCGGCCATACGACGTCAGGTAGTTACGCGTTATATGATATCAGGAGCAGACGTAGGGTGACCTGCAGATTGATTTCACACAAATACTTATAACTATCCGTATCATTTCATTCTCAACGCTAGAAAACGAGCTTACAAAATCTATAACTGACAAAAACAAGACAACACCAGTAGATTATCTAACACCAACATAAAATTCATAATACTAGCTACTATCTTTACTATCTTACGGCTTAAGAATACGACGATAGCATCTCTGCAGAGGGGTAAACTCCCCACCAAATCAGGCGTCCTTGCTAAGACGATAAACTACATCCGCGTCCTGGGTAAGACGGTAAACTGCATCCAACAGCAAGGCCTCTGATCAGGAGGTTTTGAGGAGCTTGGAGTCAACTCTTAATTGCTGGTGTTCCCAGGTCCACCCAGGCCTGGGGTGGTAGCACCTGTTAGGGTCCCAGCTATGGGCAAGACTTTAACCCCCAAACATGGGTCAAAAAGTGTAAAATAGTTTTTAATACCAGAAATACATTTTTGTAAATAATTATTACCAGCAATAAATGTTTGAAGAAAAAAATATTACCATCTATATATTATTGTGTGTGTGTGTGTGTGTGATGCGGCATTCACCCTGGGCGGATTGAGCCGGCTTCTTCCTGTTGTGAGAAGAAGATTCTTGGGATAAATTACAGAAGTAGGGTACCCAGGCCTACTCGGATAACGTTCTTGCTTGCCGCGGATTCCCACAGACACAGAGACAGGAACGACCAGAAGCCGCCGGTTGCCGATGCAGACGCTCCTTGGATTTTCACCAGAGCCCTTGTTAGTCCAACCCTTACCTCACAGTCGGTGGGTGGGTTTAAACGGTAGTGTCAGAGCTATGCCGTCTGAAACATCGTTCCTGGTAGGGCCACCCAAGGTGGACAGGTCTGACACACACGCCGGCTAACAAGGGCTCTGGTGGAAATCCAAGGAGCGTCTGCATCGGCAATCTATATATTATTACCAGCAATGCATTTTTGGCGGAAGTAATATTACCAACAATACAATTTTGAAAGAAAATAATATTATCAGCAATATATATTTGAAGGAAGAAATATTACTAGCAATACATATTTGAAAAAGTAAATTGTTACCAGCACTATTTTTTTTGGAAAAAAAATATTACCAGCAATAAAAATCTAGTCGGCATTAAATAACCCATTGAATTTGATATGCCGAAAAACAAATCAAACAAAACCATTATATACTTAGATAGATAGATAGATAGATAGATAGATAGATATTACCAGCAATAAAAATCTTTCGGCATTAAATAACCCATTGAGACTAATATGCCGTAAAACAAAACAAACCCAATTAATGCTAAGACTATTGCCACCAAACCCAAGAAAAGCGGTGATATAATTAAGAAGAAAAATAAATCCAACACCAATCCAGGCATCAGGACTTAACAAATAAATCACTTACAATGTAAAAGAATTTATATCTGAGAGACATCACGAAATCTAAAAGCCGATATCCACGAACATAAAAAGATTTAGGTTTAGACTCTTTTAACATAAAAAGAGTTACGTTTTGACGTTTTTAATATACAGAAAAAAAACTGACTATTACTGTGCTTTTATAAATGCCACCGTAATTAAATAAATAAATTTAAGTCAAAAGTATTTCAAGGGATTACTAATAACTATATTACCAATTATAAACACACGTTAGAAATATTATCATACATCACCAAACTTTATTTAATCCATTCTTAAAAAATCTAACGTGTGTTTGTCGAAAGCAAACAGTCCGTACGTAAAAACGTTTGTATCGAACAAAACAAGATCTAGATTTAAAATTCAAATGCTAAGCACTGACTCATTGAATTTGTTAGAAATTAAAAAGACTGGAATTTACTTAACACCCACGCAAAAGCGAATCCAAAAACAAAACTCGTGAAATTTGACACCTTGATGCGAAATGTTTTTCGGCCAATGGAAAACTAGAAAAAAATTAAAAACAAAATTTAAATAATCTTCAATTCTCAGGAACAAATTCTTTTACAGACCTTTTCGCGAGCCGACGCGAACTTTTTCGTCGTCCAATAGAAAGGCCCGAATCATATCCGGGATTGAATTCCCAAATGACCTCTTCAAACCCCACAAACAAAATAAAAGACGGACAAGTTCACCTGTCTCCAGAGAGAAGGAAACGAGCGTGTTAACACGTCCCTTGACAAACGTCAAGCGATCGTTAATTATCTCTACCTTTCTCCTTCACCTCTTTTATACTTGATAAAGAAACGGAACATTTTAAGACTGAGCGATTACTTCAAAGACATTCCTACCCTACGATAACGCTCATACATACATACATAAATCCACACATACGTTCTTGCCTACGTACACATAAACTCATTCTTGCAAAGACTATTACAAATATTTTGACGACCTTGTATCAATCAAAATACATTAATTGTATTTGTAGAGACCTTAATTGATTTATATTATATATATATATATATATATATATATATATATATATATATAAGTTTTATTGTTTCACTTTACAATTTGATTTTCTTGTTTTATACCCCTCTTATAGTGGGCTATCTAACTAACAAGGCCAAATCAATCTAATCTGTTTCAACGCTTATACATTTCATTATAACTGATAACCCACTATACATTCCCAAATCAACATGCGAAAAACCACCAACCATAACGTCTAATAGACACACCCACAAACTCACGCACATAGACACACACACACACATGCACGCACACACGTACAAATATAGATTATCATCTGAATCCCACATTGACAAAAGAGAATTATTATAAACTTATATACATAAAGCAATATTTACAGTTTTTCAGTTAGGCTTGGAATGCGTTACTTTCTTTGAGATTTGAAAAACGCGTTGTCTCTCCTTGAATCCGGAATGCCCTAAATTATACTGAGGTTTAGCACTAGCTTAGAAGAAGCCCTTCGAACTAGACTTTACGCTAGCTCCTGCGGAAGGCTTTTGGACCTTCGGACTTTTAACGAAGGCGTCCTATGTAAACGTTATAAGTATTTAGATATAATAAAACTGTTTTTTTTCTTTATTCGTCAACTAAATTCGGCATAAACTTTCTTCGCATACGCAAGTCATCTCCGTAGTTCGTTTACATCTATTTTGCACGCAAATTTTCTTTTTTTTTTAAAAAATCCCCATTCTTTATGATCCCTTCACATAAGGTCACTCTAAAAGACATTAGGGAACCCGAGCTATGTAAAATTTCGAATACATCAAAATACGCATGCTCGAAAAAAAAAATGTGCAACATACAGTGCCTCGCTTAACTTTTTTTTTTAATTACGGTTTAATTAGGTGATATCAATTGCAATTTTGACGAAAAGCGAAATAAAAGTCAAAACTTTAATAAAGAATTATTTTGAAGCCATTCACTCTGTTCGATATTTAAATTAAACCTTAAAGGAGTTCTTTATTTAATATTTAATCGCTTGTAGTTACTACCAGTCTCTTCAGGTTGTTTATGATTCGCCGAGACGAAAAGACGGACACACGTGCATTGCGCTTGATTTGTGTAGAAGTCAAATGCACGTGAAACATGATTTTCCTTTTTTGTTCTTTTTTTTCTTTTCTTCGTATCTCATTCTCTGGTGAAGCCTTAATAAAAGTGAAACCTGATTCTCTGTTTTGTTCGTTTTCTTATCGCAATAACGATATACAAAACGTAGAAAATGAAGAGTCTCATTATTAGTTAACCCCCACCCACCCACGCTACCACGTAGTAATTATACGATATTCTTCTTTTCAATTACTTACCATATAAGCGGCTTCTATTTCCATACTTCGTATCATCTGTTTATCAAAATCATTATTAATAACGCCATTATTCGAACTAGAATCGATCAAGACGCACTTATCAGTAAACAAATAATTGAGCAGGACAAACGGCTTAAAGGATTTTTATTCTTTTTATTTTTTTGAAAACAATGGCTTATATTGAAGGACGCACTTTTAACAACTATGCTATAAACAAACACATCTTTTATTCTCATCGGAAATAACAATTTAATAGACAAAGAAAGAGTAGCTAAAACATATTTTGCAGCTGGAGAGAGAAGGAGATAGAGGAACTGAGAGCAAAAACAACAAAAAGAAAATGTCCTAGAATGTTGTATATTAAATTGATTAAATGAAACAGATTCTATTATTATGAATTTGTTTGCTGAAGTAGAGGCCTTATTGTTATTAAGGTTAGGTACAATGAATTCTGCCAGAAGGCAGTGAAAGATATTTATCTTATTTGGTCATCGTCTTCGAGCGCTGGATATTCCTTAATTAAAACCAGAATATCCGGCGCGATACAAAGTATATTCGCCCTTTAGTGTCTCATTTACTCGATCTGAATTCTAATCTTCCTGGGTTCCAGTCTCGTTCCTAACACAGATTGCTTCCAGAATTGGAAACAATATATTTCTCTCTCTCTCTCTCTTTCTTTCTCTCTTTCTCTCTCTCTCTCTTTCTTTCTCTCTTTCTCTCTCTCTCTCTCTCTCTCTGTGCCCCTCTCTATTTCTTTTTGACTATGTAATTCAGTTCACGTCTGTCTATCTTTGACTATGTTCACAATATCATATCTATCTATCTATCTATCTATCTATATCTATCTAAATTTGTTCATATCCGTCTATCTTAGCTTGTTCATATCTATCTATCTATCTATCTATCTATCTATCTATCTATCTATCTATCTCAGCCTGTTCATATCCGTCTATCTTAGCTTGTCCATATCTATCTATCTATCTATCTATCTATCTATCTCAGCCTGTTCATATCCGTCTATCTTAGCTTGTTCATATCTATCTATCTATCTATCTATCTATCTATCTATCTATCTATCTATCTATCTCAGCCTGTTCATATCCGTCTATCTTAGCTTGTCCATATCTATCTATCTATCTATCTATCTATCTATCTCAGCCTGTTTATATCCGTCTATCTTACCTTTTGTTCATATCTATCTATCTATCTATCTATCTATCTATCTATCTATCTATCTATCTCAGCCTGTTCATATCCGTCTATCTTAGCTTGTCCATATCTATCTATCTATCTATCTATCTATCTATCTATCTATCTATCTATCTATCTATCTATCTATCTCAGCCTGTTCATATCCGTCTATCTTAGCTTGTCCATATCTATCTATCTATCTATCTATCTAGTTAACTAAATAATACACTCATATTTCTTTCTCTGTCTTATCCTTCTATGTAAGTCTGTTCACATGTATGTATGTATGTAAATATGTATGTATGTATCTATCTATCTAACAATACATGCTTGTTTACATCCATCTAATAACATAAGTGTCTTCACATCTATCTATCTATCTATCTATCTATCTATCTATCTATCAAACCTATATTTCACTCTCATTTCTTCTCTCTTTTCTTTCTCTCTGACTATAGAAGTCTTTCATGTCCATGTATATATCTATCTTTGACTATGTAAAATTGTCCACATCTATCTATCTATCTATCTATCTATCACCCAGAACGCAGGAGGCTTAGTCAAATAACTATCCGCATTTTAGCCATAACATATGTTTAGGTTTGTCTCACTGCCTTCTACACATGCATTCTTATAGTTGGTACTATTTTGGTCACGTAATCGGACGTTGAGCTTCATGGCGGCAGTTTTCTCACTGCTGTCACAGTGCAAACATGTCCGTTCCGCTAGTAGTGTGCACCAAAGAAGAACAAAGAGCAGTGACCCGAATCTACAGAGAACATGATGCCTCATCGATGAGAACTCGCCAGTCTGCCTTTACCATCTTCCGAGCTTGCCAAATGTTCTCGTCAGAGCTGGAAGTTGACAGGCGACCTGCTCTTTCTTCGGGCGTCATTCTTTCGCGGCCACATTTTAAACTTCTCGATCCACTCATATGCACTTCTACGCGGTCGTGCACTGTCGCTGTATTGTGCTAATAGGACCCCCTTTACATTTTAGCCCCTGACACACAGTCTGACCAGAGTTTGCAAAAAAAAAAAAAAAAAAAATTTATCAAGAGCTAGAAATTACAGGAAATTGTGGAGAGTCATGATCGCTAGCGTCCTGAAGAGATACGGCACATAGAAGAAGAAGATACGAAGAAGATAAGAAGATAATAATAATTATAAGAAGGAGAAAAAGAAGAAGATAAGGAAAAAGATAAGAAGAAGACGAAGAAGTTAAAAAAAGAAGGTCAGAAGAAGAAGATATGAAGAGGAAGAGGATAAGAAGAAGAAGAAGAAAGGAAAAATGAAGAAGAAGATAAGAAGAAAAAGAAGGTAAGAAGAAGAAGAAGATAAGAAGACGACAAAGAAGCTGAGAAGAAAAAGAAGAAGAAGGAGAAGAAGATAAGAAGAAAAGAAAAGATGAAGAAGAGGATAAGAAAAAGACGATGAAGGAGAAGAAGAAGAAGAAGGGGAAGAAGATAAGAAGAAAAGAAAAAATGAAGAAGAGGATAAGAAGAAAAAGAAGGTAAGAAGAAGAAGATATGAAGACGACGACGAAGATAAGTAGAAGAAGGGAAAGAAGATAAGAAGATAAGAAGAAAAGAAAAGATGAAGAAGAGGATAATAAGAAAAAGACGGTAAGAAGGCGACGAAGAAGATAAGACGAAAAAGAAGAAGAAAAAGAAGAATAAGAAGAAGTTAAGAAGATAAGTAGAAAAGAAAAGATGAAGAAGAGGATATGAAGAAAAGGAATGTAAGAAGAAGAAGATAAGAAGAAAAGAAAAAAAAAGAAGAGGATAAGAAGAAAAAGAAGGTAAGAAGAAGAAGAAGAAAAGTAAAGATGAAGAAGAGGAGAAGAAGAAAAAGAAGGTAAGAAGAAGAAGGAGAAGAAAGAAGAAGGTAAGAAGAAGAAAAGATGAAGAAGAGGATAAAAAGAAAAAGAAAGATTTTGGTAAACAATCAAGCCAATTTCATTTCCTTTTTTCTTTTTGTTTATGCTTTATCAGATCTGTCATTAATTATCGCACATTGTAATAATAGAAGATCTGCCGAGAAAGTTGAAATGTTGGAAGAACCAGGACGCAAATTTACTCTTTTTTTATATCATTCTGTAATCTGGCCTGTCAAGGGTTACGGTAAGAGGCAGTTTGCTTCCGTATTTTTTGCAACATGTGCAAGGTCTATCTTTTCATTTAACACGAGAGAACATTTGCCGATGGTTTAAAAGCGTCTACCGTAAAATTTAAACTTTGCGGACCTATGTATATATAAACATTTGCTATTGTTTTATTGTGAGGAATCCACCTCCAAAATTTTCTAAATCTATTTAGATACACACTGTATGTATATATATATATATATATATATATATATATATATATATATATATATATATATATATATATATATATAAAAAAAAAACAGACCACTTTAAGGTAGCATTATGATAATTTATTTCACCAGAGCCCTTTTAAAGGACGCTTAATTTTTGGAATTGTTATCTGATGATCCGGGCTCTGGTGAAATAAATTATTATAATGGTACCTTAAAGTGGTCTGTTTTTCTTTAAAATAATACTTCTAGATTTACATTGAGCTCTCAGGATTTCATCCGCCTTGGAATTACCCATACGGATTACCAAGTTCTTCATAACTTAACTATATATATATATATATATATATATATATATATATATATTCCCGGATCCAAACAACGTTTCAAACCAGAAATGCCCTTCGATTTTAGTCCCCCCCACCCCTTTTTACTTTTCTTTTCCTCTCCCTGTCTCATCTTCTGATCTTTAAGATTAAATCGTCTATTGTGTGTGTATGTCACCACAAAATGTATCTTTTCTGGTATTATAGACATCCGAGAATATTCATATTTCTCTCACTTAAACCGTCTTTGACTCCCCTCTTTAAAACTTCTCTCTGTTAAATTTTAATCCCCACTTCATCTTTAAACCTTCCTGTTCTTCTCTCGTCTGTTACCCCTCCCTATAGCTTTCATTTACTCTAACATTCGACCCACACTCTCATACATACACTCTCACTAAATTCTATTTTTTTATTCCCGATGTGTGTGTGTGTGGAGGAGTAGTGAATACGGATCGGAGTGAAGAATCGGAGAGCCGAGTTCAAATTACAGTCGAATTCATTACATTCACTTGTAATATTCTACTCTTGGGAAACGTATTAATCTTCTTCTTCCGCCATCTATGGCTAAATAGCAGGACAGACTGGGTTCTATAGCTTTGGATGGCAACTTGTCTAAAAGAAGGACAAGTCTGAATTCAAATAGTACACCAGGTCTCTGTATCCGGCCTTACAAAATGTGTGGTTAGTTCTGCACAAAGCCTTCACCGCTAAAATGAAATCATATGTGCTGTTGTCTGGCTTTCGGTTCCGAAGAACTGAGCTGCCTGACGCTCATGCGATGGAAGAGTCCACAATAAAATAATTTTGATTTTGTTTCTACACACACACGCACACACACACACATACACACACAGATACATATATATATATATATATATATATATATATATATATGTATATATATATATATATATTCTCGGCAGGAAAAGAACCGTTTACACCAGAAACCGAAGTTTTAGGTGCTTCCTTTCATATTAGGAAATCCCTCTTAAGTATATGAGCTAGATAAAAAAAAGTGTTATATTTCAATTAAGCCCTTATTGATACATTTGCAATACCCTTTCTATTCTTCGCGTCCTCTTGTCGTTGTTGTTGTTGTTGTTGCCGTTGTTGTTGTTGTTGTTGTTCTTCTTCTTCTTCTTCTTCTTCTTCTTCATCTCCAGCCTCTTCTTTTTCTTCTTCTTCACATCCTCATTTCGAAAATAATAATATATCGTTCATTATTTTAGTTAAAATAAAAATGCGATAAGAGGTCTATCGATAAAAACCGCCTGAGGATATTGTAAGGTTGAAACCAAGGTAGCGAATTCAACTAACCTCCTGATTTTTAGTGTATATATATATATATATATATATATATATATATATATATATATATAGATAGATAGATAGATAGATAGATAGATATACTTTTTTTTTTTACTCTTGTTTCTATGCATATATATACATATGTGTGTATATATATATAAACATATTTTACGTATATATATATATATATATATATATATATATTACATATTGCTTCTGACCATGTCAAGTTGAGGACAATATATATAAAATGCTTTACAACAATATATATATATATATATATCTATATATCTTTATATATATATATATATATATATATATATATATACATATATTTATATATTACATATATATATATATTACATATATATATATATATATATATATATATGTATATATATATATATATATATATATATATATATATATATATATATATATATATATATATGTATTTATAAGAGCACTTTGTTTAGTGTTGATTTGAAATTCATCCGAAATAATTCAGTCATTCGAGTCGAAATGAAAACGAAAGGAAATCGTGAATGAATATTTTATTTCCGTTGCTTTTTTTTTCCTCTCTTTGCGCTCTCTCTCTCTCTCTCTCTCTCTCTCTCTCTCTCTCTGCGCTCTCACTCTCACTCTCCCTCTCTTATCAGCTGCCTGCAAATATTTGCCAATCGACGAGAGGACGAGGCGCAACGCCAGCGACCTCTTATCTGTTTTTACTTTTATGTCCGCCATAATAGCCAAGCCGACTGATAACGAAATCAATAAAGAAGTAACATTTTGTCACGGCACCGTGTCTGTTCATATCTCCGGCCATATTAGCTTGCAAAATTACGCTGGATATCCGCTACGTTCGTCTTATATTTGTTCACGATGTCTCCTTTGGCACGTATCAATGCAGTCCGGATTATTTGTTCTTTTTTTTCTTTCCTTCTATCTCTATCTCTCATATATATATATATATATATATATATATATATATATATATATATATATATATCATTTGTGTGTCATTTAGCATTTTTTCAGTGATGCATGTTTGATTAAATAATATAGACAAGTGTTGTCTATTTATTTTATGTAAATTCTTTTCATATTGTCTAATAAGCTTAATAACATTATCAGTAAAAGACAAAAGAAAATCGCCATATTGATACATATTTTTTAATCCTCTCTAAGCTTTCGGCTTACATAAGCCATTATCAAAGATGACAATTACATTACAATATGTTAAACAGTACACGGACAAAACAATAATGATAGTTTGTTTTTGTTTGCATGGAAGCTTTCCAAGCAATGACAAACTCGTGTATACGAGACGCGGAAACGAAAATCTCACCGCAGCTCATGACATCTTACAAATATAAGGTGTAAAATGTCATGAAGCCATTTCTGAACTTAGGTCTCTGTTTGGGATCCGGAAGGAAATACGTATACAACTGAAATCAAAGGAAGTATATAATAATAATAATAATAATAATAATAATAAGAAGAAGAAGAAGAAGAAGAAGAAGAAGAAAAGAAGGAGTTTATTTATGAA